TGAGACCTGAAAGCTTCGGCGTCTCGACCTTACAACCTTGGTAGACGACGCCACCGACTTTCTCAGGCTCCCTTTTTGTAGAGTCCAGGCGATGCGGATGCTTATGAAGATCTGTTACTCTATTCCATTGGCTCAACATGTCATTATGCATCACCGGCATTTTCACAAAGTTTGCTGAAGGGGGTGAACAAAGTTGCGACCAAAATTGCTGGTGGTGACAATCCACCGCTGCCCTTTCGGCCAGAGAACGAATCTTTCTCCCTGGGCGAATCATCGTAATCAGAACAGACGGTATGCATCAGGGACTTGATTATGACAGATATATCGAGCCTCTCCGGATGCACAATATATAGAGAAAGAACTGGGCAAGACATGGCGCAAGCCCATGATCACATTACTAAATAATAACACCCCCAACACGTTGCATCATTCGACGCGGAAAGTGGAAGCTCTGGAGCATCACCGTCGAAATAGGGAAAGCTTCAAGACGGAGACCCCTAGTGGTTCCGTCATAGAGATCATCTAGGCAAAACCTCAGAATCGAAAGATTGTTTGCATATACATCTGCGCAACCTGCTCGTTGTGACAAACTTTGGTGATCCGAATACAGCAAAACTGATAACACCAGCAGCACCGTTCAAATTTCTGTGGAAAAGTAGATTCAAGGACCGTAATAAACCACTTGCACATTTCAAATTGATGACCACTGGAACACCGGTGGACCGTAATAAACCACTTGCACATTTCAAATTGATGACCACTGGAACACCGGTGGACAACTCCAAACGTCAGGATAGACATCTAGTACACGACCATCGTCGGCCACAAGATAATACGTCCTACCATTAACAATATCTATACTAAATTTGCCATTTATCACACAGCTGAATGTGGCCCGGGGTGTGATTGATTCGTATTGAGCTTCGTCGCTAGGGCGGCCCTTTTTCACGCGCTTTAAGCTTGCAAGGAGTCGATTTTTCAGCTTTTATTAAATATTGAAAGATGAAGAAAACTGCAAGCGCACCATGAGCTACATGCACCAAAAGACGTATCCTTTCCGTTTCGAGCAGAAGCAGACGATTTCGTTCTCAGAGTCTTGTGGCTTCATCTCGGCCTTAAAGATACTGTCATTGCCTTGAAGAGGCGTTGAGGTCCAACCAAAACTCACTTTGTGGCAATGTGCCTTCTGTCGCCATGCAAGTTGGTTTTTGGGCCATATTGTTTGTCGCCCAAGGTGTGATCATACAAGATTACTCATCTCCATCACTGAGATTCTGTCTCGAGACGCACTAATCCTTTTTTGACGCATGGCTACATACGGTGGGGTTTGCTTAGAAATTTGCGTACTATTTTCGCTTCCAGAACTATCAGTTTGATCCCTGATACTGCCTCTCTGCGCCGTTACATATGTTATGCACTGATTTGTGAGATGCACACAATCAAAACAGCTTTTGAGCACGTAGTGGCGGAAATAGGGGTTATCCCCCGTGTGCAGTAACAGTTCCTACAGCATGCAAAATGTTTTGTGCCATTATTTGCTACTGTACCTAGCGATCCAGAATTTGACAAAACGCCTTTCCAGAACTTGCTGCATATCAGTGACGGTTCCTGCTTCTCAAACGGAGCTTCGAACACCGGTGAACTGACAGGTATAAATGTGTCAACCCTAGCCAAGTGGCTTCCGATTCTACGTTCGCTTCCGAGTCGTATTTGTCGCGGAGACATTCGGTCAAATTCTGGCCACTCATACCATCGTTCGCTAAGCGGTCGTCCTGGTCCCTGCGATGGAGCAACTGGGCCAAGACCTGACAGATTTTTGATGAAGCGCTGATCCGTATCTTTTGGACTTCGAAGAGAACAATTTCTCTTCTGTTTCATGGTCTTCTCGCGTTCAGACGCCATCTTCTAGCACCGATAGTCTCGCGCAGTCAGGTGGTGCACCAATACAAGACGTGCCGACGGACGATTCCTCTGACGCCGAACATGAGTACCTGGATCCTTCTGGAACTGTTTCAGCTTGGAAAACTCTGATGGCGATAGCAAGACCGCCAGCTTTTCACTTGTGATGTCGAGAGACTGGCGCGGGGGCCACGAACACAAAGAAGCCCAAGAGGCAAATGTGGTACGGCTTGAAATAGACCACGGCAGAATGTGCTCTGGCATTCTTGACAGAATGGCTCGATTTTCCAAGTTCTCGTTTGTACGCCAGAACGTCTTTCAGACGAGAGGTATCAACGAATTCTGGGCATCAACATCATCGCGATAGTAAGCGGAAACTCAAGCACTGCACCATGTGCTCGCGCGTCCTACAAATCTGTTCTTACGTGACTCGATCGAAGATACGATTTTGCATGCTCTTGCAGGCGACTTTGGATTACCACATCTGTCGGCTTCCGCCGACAACATTTTTGTATGACAGACCATATTTACACAAAGCAAGCTCAAGTCATCCTCAGCCCTTCCATATAATCACAATCCCGACCTTTTGCGCTGCGCGACCGAGGCAGAACTCGACAGCGTGTTTGAGCAGTTGTGGAACATGGGCGGCCTCAGTCTCACGCAATCGAACTATCGCGACGCCGCATTTGACAAGACGGCTAACGCTTGCTTGTATGACTTTTGGTTCGAAAAATACGAAGCCACATGACGGACTGCAAGAAGATGGACGTTGTTACGCCTTTAAAGCAGTTCGAATGGTTCGGATTGGCATGTGTCAACCTTGAGATGAACATCTATAAGGCGTTAGATTAAGCGAACTTCGATCTGGTAGATAAATAAGACGCCGATTAACGCCTTTGATGACCAGGGAATTCTCACTGGTCTGCTAGAAGCTACTACGCACTACGACTTGGATGTCGTCATTATGGCCACTGGGTGCGACTGTGTCACGGGCAGCCTGCTAGACATGAACATCCACGATAAGAACGGCGTTCGATTGAGTGAGGTTTGGAAGAGTGGCATGAGCACCTACCTTAGGATGATGATACCCAACATTCCCAATGCATTTATGCTGTACGGGCCGCAAGGACCGACAATGCAAACTAATGCACCGCTAGCGCGAACGTCCCGAACAAGAGATTGAACCGCTCATCGTTCTAGGCGGTGTTCAGAAGTGGAGAGAGTTGTGTGGCCGGTCTCTCGATGACTGGGCTAACTTTATTGTATTTAAAGCGCGGGGGAATAGATGTATATCGCGTGGTCTCGCTAGCTGGAGCTAATAGATGTTGTGTTCTAAATACTGATAGTGATGATCAACTTCTGCGTTTGACGCCTTGATACATGAGTGATTCTGAAAGCGAAGTGAACTGAACACGGCCTGTTCTACTATGTAGCAACAACAGTACCATGTATGCATTGCATGTTGCTCCTGTACCAGCTACTGCAGATGGTTGAGTTTGGCTTATCTAGTCTCAGCTGCGCTTCCTTCTGCGCCGCCGAATTCGCATGTGTTTCAAACCCAGCACCCTCTGTGCCAGCACTGTTGACTCCATTTATGCCCAAAGGGGAATGGTATGCCATCCTCTCGTTCGTCGTCAAATTTCCTACATTCTTAGAAAGACCAAAGTACGATTTGTAGACGGATCTTCTGGTAAAGAATGATGTGACCCGCGTTTCACTGGTCTCAAACTCTGCCAGCATGCTCGGCAGGAACAATCTTGTTCGATCACAGGCGCGATCGTTGTTGTGAGAAATGCCATATCTGACCGGTAGCTCTTTGCAGAGTTCGCTCAAACTATGGTCGTGTGTCGTCTCTGGAACGGGCTTGTCGGGTTGTTGCGAACATTTCCGCTACCTGTTGAACGCATTTTTCATTAGCTGGGTATTGATAATGCTCTGGTTTTCTCGCATAGAGGAGGAGACGGCTGGCGACTTCAATGTCTGGGGACGCTCCCACAATTTTGCTCATTTCATTGGACCCAAAACCCATTCCGCTCGCAAGAGAAGCGAATTCGAACGGTGTGGTCTCATCTGCCCTCCCGTTAGCTTTAGCAAGTATATCTTTCCTGTTCACGTTTGCCGGCAGTTTATGGAACTCTCGCAAGGCATCAAGCCATAACCGCCGGCATCCAAGGTCAAAACGAGTCGCCGAATCTCCTTCGATGTTCACATATGTCGTTTGCGATATCTGCACCAGGCGTTGGGCAGTCTACTGGGTTGAAATCTGTAACATCTCATCAGGACGGCTCAGAATCATGACTTTGAAGCCGACACCTGTCAGCTGCTTCATGCAGCCCGTGACAGTGCTGAGGAACTTTCGATCCTCAAACAAGGTGAAAAGTGACGGTATGGTGTGTTGTTTCGAGACGTGACAGATTTGGGTTCACATCTCGTTCCATCGGCAAAATCCCCGAGGATACGACCACTTTTGAGATCACCCAGGAGCTCCTCGTGGTCTGCACTAAAAGCTCCTGGCGCTGTCCCCTGTAGTCATTCCACCGTCCCTCCATTAACAAGCCGCATAGTCTGAGGGTCGTCCCCGCATGTTTCAGTCCAGACCTGTTGTATGTGTTTCAAGTAATGCAAGTTAGGCTGCCTCTAGTCAGCCTGGGAGAGCCCATCGTTGGGGACTACTACTCTACCTCTTCACATCTCATGCATGTTGCCGGGTGAACCACAGAGAGCCGGAAGCCGCAACAGATAGCAGTAATGGCCAGAAGTGCGTCGATCGCGTCGGTGTATTTCTTATGGCGAAATAGTTGATCCAGCAGATCTCGACGATTCTTTGAGACGGCGAAATGCCTCCCCAGCCACATCCTTCTGAAGAAAGAATTTTTGTCACCGTGATGTCCTTGGTATCCGCGAATCTTGCAGTAAACCTCAACATCGTCAGGTTCTTTCTGATACTCATACTCTTCGACGAAAAGCCTCTTCATTCAGATCATCGCTCAGGTCTGAGTGACGTCAGCTGGCTCTGTCCCATGATTCGGCTGCGAACGCACCCTCTAGATAAAGATCGACTATCCAATGCTCGTTCATCCCGTCAAACACTTCGTTGGCTGCTACGAATGATCCGACCCCTGGAGGGATTCCAGCTGTACTCCGGATGGGAGCTTTAAACCCGGATAGGGCAAAGCATCGCTCCGGAGCCTCAAGACGGAGGTCTCTGCTTGCAATATGGCGGATTCAAAGTTGAATTGGCTGATGATAGCCTTGGCATGACGACTGTGCTCTTCCTGCCGGCATTCGTGCTCTTCCCGGTAAAGCCTCTTCAGCGGTTCAGGAGCGTGACGGCGAACGCGGTTCGCGGTCCTCAGCGGTGGCTTCAATGACGGTATGCTGATGCTGGCGGTACTACAGAACTTGACCCGACACTCTTCTTCAAGTCACCGGTTACCTGGGTGAACCTGGTGTCTACCATTGCGGGTTCTTGTGTACGTGTGAGTGAACTGTGTTTTGAGGGAAAGCAAAGATATCTGCAGGGAACCCACGGGAAACGTACAGAAGTGATGCAGATGCTTCCTCTTGGTTGGATGGTTTGTATAACGAGCTCCAGTTTCTGATTCAATCATAACGCCTATGGAAGCTGAAACGACACTCCTTTCTTCCATATTTTCCGTTTACCTTTTAATCTACTTGTATATCAATCGTCTTTCTCTTGTGTTTCAACCTGTCCCTTCTCTCCTTCTGCTTTTCCCAGTCGCATGATTTCACTCGTCCGAGAATGTCGAATCCGGAAACTACTTGGAAACGGATATAACTAGTCTCCATTAAACGCGTCATCCTCATACATCAATCCAGTAACTACTTGCTGAATGGAACTCCTACGCATCATCAAAATAAGGCAAGACGGAACCTCCGAAATCGCCACCGTATTGGTCAAGACGACATCACCATGGCCCTCGAATATTTCCCTGTGAGAGTCATACGGCAGTCAGCAAGGTGCGCTTCCAGGCGGCAAACTGCGAAGAAGAAAGGTTAGAAGGGAAGAAAGATTAACCATAGACCACACACGAGAAAGCTTATAGCCAGACTCTGTGAGATAGCGACCTTGTCCAAATTGCTGAAAAGAGAAGTATGTCTGGCGACGTCGTCGATGTTCGCCACTTTTCGGAGCTTTCTACGCAGCACCAGAGATGCTTCAGTCAATCCAACACCCGGGCATCATCACAGTACATGAATCATACAGCAAAATACTCTCTACCACGTTGTCTACGAGCACATGCCGCGATCCCGTCAGGAAGCCATTGGGAATCCGTATCATAGCCGTCAACGCCTGACAGCGGTAGGACAGGTTCGTTCTACCCTCCTTCTACCTTCCTTCTAGCGGAAGTTTGTCTTACAAGCTGTCAGGTAATTGAGGCGCTCGTTCATCTTGAGCGAAAAGGACTACACAGTCGTCTCAGCTGCTCGCACGTTCTACTTCACCCAAGTAGGAGGATCAATCTGAGTAACTAATCCTCGGTCCGCCGCCCACTAGCAAAGGTCGAGCTAAACAAAACGTACAGATGGCCGGGAAGGTTATCGCCCTATAAGCTCCGAAGATGACTTGCGCGATGTAGGTTGCACGATGATGGAGTTGATGCAAGGATATGTGAAGGAGGGTGCCAACCTGAGACTTGACGATCCACAGCAGTGGAACCCGGATGTCGTAAGTTTCCTTTCAGCGACGACATCTGCTTTGTCTGCGAACGAGTTGAGCCAGGTTTGCCCCGTCCTTTGTTTGCTAAAGCAGCTACTAATCTGCGTTCAGCATCCGTCTCTGCGCTCCTGGCAGAAAGCGAAGTCGAAATTGTTGACGACACTTCCAAAAGACATGGACCAAGCAGGATTACGAATATCTGGGGTGGCAGTCAAGAGAGTAGAGTCTGCGACGCATAGCGCGATCCCCTTTACTGCCTCTGCCCCATGGCTCCCACTGCTTCCTCATAATCGCGTCGATCGTGGCAAACTACATGGGCAGGTGATACAGACGCTCCTGAACTGAATTTCGCGCCAACCCATACTTTGCCGTCGCCACCTGCTTGCGTTCGAGTCAACACACTGGACCAGAATAAGCTGTATCAGGTCGTAATTGTGCGACACCAAAGTGTTTCTCGGCTGCTGCAGATGAAACCGTATGCCTACAAGGCGGTGTTATCCGACCATGTCAGCAACCATTAGAGAGCAGGAAGAGGCGTCGTTGGGAATCCGAGACCGTTCAGACTTCAAAGCCTTCCGATCACGGACATGGAAATTGATAGAACGTCAAGATTAACTGCCTTACTGTGTTTGATGCCGACTGTGATACGTCCATCATGTGTGGCTACTACGGAAGATCGCAAAACCGGTGGCCGCTTCGCAATTATGGATTATCTGTTGAGGACAGACCTCCCTTCCTTGGAGCATTTCAGACACATAGCGGGAGGCAGAAGCGCCCTGACAGAGACTACGCTACATTTATTCATGGGAGCCCAATTGGCTGATTGACCACATCGCTGACAGCTTAGTGTTTCCAGAATCAACAGTAACCAGAACCAGCAGTAAACATTGCGGGAGCTAAAAGCGACTGTTGACGTGGGTTGATCCTTACTAGTCTAAGCAGCAAACAGCTGCCACTCACTTTCACCCAGTATTACAGAGGCATGCTTCTACCCAAGGCGCCATTCCATACACGCAGCAAGTTGCTCGCAGCATCTGCGAGACTTTTGGCGCTCTCATCGCCTCTGGTGGCAATTCGCTTCATCAAGCTCGCATCTGATTCAAAGGTCCAAAACATTGAGAGAATTACATAGCGACATGTCTTTTGACGTCTGTGCGGGCCTTCTTATCCCATTCTACGTCTAATTTCAAGCTTGCCTCTCTTGCATCGCCCACTAATGCCGCAGTAAACTGTTTAGGGCTCCTATGAACACATGTAGCGGGTCTGTTTCAAGGTATATACGCCTATCAATAAACATACCATGATTTCAAGATGAACACCAGTTGCGATCGTCAGTGCAGTACAGTATGATGTATGCTGCTTCCCCTTTTGCAAACATCATCCATGTTTGAGAAGCCAGAAACTACTATGATATGTCTCTACAGCCCTTTTCTAATGGCTGTAGTGGCTGCTTTACAAACAGAAATCCGAGGTTGGAATGGATGAGATTCATGACAGCTTGTAGCTAGACCACTTCAAGCGTCCGAGGCGGAGGTGCTAACAACCTACATCAAAATCACATGTCGACTAAGCGTGGAGCTACAGAAGCATCTTCAAATGGCTGAATGTTTTGCAGCCAAATTCAGCTTGCTCAAAAGTTGGAAGAAAAGCCTTCTTGGCAACTGTACAAAGCGCTATAGTGTCCGAGCAACAATACAACTCCCTTTTATTTGCCTGAGAGCTTCAATTGCCGATTTTTAAACGCTGGAGCGAATAGCAACCGAAGACTGTTTCTTGTGCATGGTGTCTAGATATGAAGGGCATTGAGGTGCTGCTGGTCGCACAATGTTTGAATCAACCAGGAGGCCTGTCTGGCCTCTTAACGATATGCAGGATTTTTTCCCCACTACAAAAGTGCGTTATGTGAACGAACTGGGCACCTCCGTGTCGAGTTGTCAATGTCCCCAGAACTGCTATGGTCGTTGAGTGTTTGTTTCTGGAGAGCTCTGCTTGTCGGGTGTGGAGGTGCTTGTGGTATCTTGTTTCAGCCCGCACAAGCCCAAGTATGTATCACACACTCCAACCGTCAAATCGGAAGCGCCACAGCCGATGACAGGGGCGATAATATCCTATGAGGAGCCAGTAGATTGCGTTGTCCTACAAGCGGCGATGAATGCAAGGGGTAGTGGTTTGGCTAACACTTGCGCATGAACCGGCGCTATCTATTATCTGAGATGCAGCTGGGGTTGTAATTGCTAGTGGGGTTTGATAGTGGTAATGTTGCATGTTGCATGATAGCCACTTCTGGATAAGTAGGCCAGCTGTACGGGATGATTCTTGTACGCCCCCCCCTGATGCCCAAGGAAACCACCGCGTTCAGCGTCAAAACAGAAGACTCTGTTGTTCAATTTCCCTACCTGAAGGGGCCAGCATATTTCTGCTTTCAGCAGGTCCGCATAGCTTCTGTGACGGATCTGTGTACTTGAGTAACCATGCGGATTGAAGTAGTCGCCGCGATACTTTGATGAATGTCTATGTTTTCCCATCTCTAGTATAGGGGCTCTCGCATCGTTATGTCTTTATCATTGAGTGCACATATTGATAGATGGCTACAGTCACATCCTATGCCTCAACAGTATCCCGGTTGGCGGGAATGCAGCACACATCTCGCTCACTCTCAACGAAAGATATGCCATATGGTCACAGAAGTTCAAGTTGGGGATGTCGGTGGTTCAGAACTAGATTAAAGCAGGCGAATCACGCTTTCTTTTGAAGCCGGCCTTCGGGATTGTCTGGTGGCTGCGTACCCTTCATCCCCACATCAACAAGCCCGAAGTCATCACCTCCTCGACCCCGTCTCACGGGAGCTAAGAGGACGTCAAGGTTGCCTTTTGGTACTGACAAGTTTTGGAGTATATGCTCCGTCTGTCTACATCCCTGCTGGGTCCGGATGGAGACGGATGACCAGGAGTCACGCTGGTCCCCGCAGCCACACCGTTGGTCTCCTGCACAACGCTCAAAAATCTGTCAATCACATGTTGAAGTTGTGTCACGGTTTCGTCGACACTGAACACGAAGCTCGTTTCTTCCAGAGCAACGCTTTTATAGTACTCAAGTTCCTTTCTGAGGCGACCGAAGTCTCTCACAAGCTCTTCCAGATGTTTTCCCTTGCTGATTGATGCCTTTTGCAACTGGAAAGTATCATTTGAAAGGTCGATTGCATGGGCCTTCCCACCCAAGGCTGCGACTGCGTCTTATGTGTCGGCTGGTAGATTCGGCTAGTCAATTGACTGGCGAGGACGTTTCAACAGTCTAGCTGCCGTGTCAGACTACGTTGCAAATGGGCTAGTGATGTTATGATTCCGGGCCACGCACATGCAGCAAGCTGCTTTATACAAAAACACCAAAGATTGTGATGCCAAGCTTTTAGAATGAAGCCAGATCTTGACCATTGATTTCTGTGAAGAATCGCAAGAACTGAGAAGCCGGATCAGGCTGTCATGGTCGACTCAGCATGTGAAAAGTTGGATTGGAGCTTTCGTGCGCCAGCGAACCACGAGACGATCCCATCAGCCACGGAGGAAATGCATTTCTGGGAAACAATGTTGCATGTCAATACGAGCTGACATACACCAAAAGCACAACATGCGTTCTGCTGAGCAGGATTGCCGTCTAGGACCGCCTTACTATACAGTTAATATAAAAGCGATGACTGGTATGCAACCATGGGCTATGGACCACTGAAACGCCACCGCCGTGCTAAAAGTGATCATGGACTGCATATGGTGAGCGACACAAGACCTTGTTGCCTGGGAATTACCTGCTAACGATGCTGAGGACCAATCTGCTCAGCCTTCAGGCAAGCCGAGCGGTGCTGCCTCGCCATCTGTCTGGCAGTCAATTGGCCCCACTAGGGACTAACTGACAACACGTGGTATCCGCCATTCGACAAAGTCAAAGACGACATCAACAGCGTCGCAGGAAGCCGATTGATCGAGCACATCATAAGCTATTCGTGTGGTCCGCTCCACGGCAAAGAGTTCGTCGTCAAGGTAGCAATGCTCCTAACGTGCCTGAAAGTCTGCAGAGCGCCCAATCAACCTGACGACATGCCGTCAAGGGACAAGATCAACCTCCTTTTCGAGCTCGACAGGATGTTGTGCTTTGACATTGACAACATTCCTGTCGTGATCAACGTGCTGGAGCAAGTCCTGATGCTCCCTGCACGGATCTGGGAAACGCAGGCACGAGACGACGCCGTCTACCCCGGGATCCTGCCCACAGGTTTCGGTCCCTGTGACGGTTAAGTGTCGAAGAAAATGCTTTACACCTACTGCTGCACACGAGTCCTGGTTCCCGACACCCACGAGTCGTCTATGCATCGGACACGGATCGTGTTCGAGCTGAACACTTCAGATACATCTGAGCTACTCCTCGACATGCTCAGCGAGGACGAGCTGGAGTCTGTGGGCCATCCAGCATGTGACTTGGATGAGGGTCTTTCCGAGGATGAGTTTGTTGGAACGTCTGACTCTGACTCTGGTGGAGGCTTATCCTTGTTAGAGCAGAGCGCTGAATGTGACGATGAGTATGGTGGAACATCTGACGACGACTCCGACTTTATTGAACACTCAGACGCGTCGGGTGAAGGCTTTGATTCTGACGCTCGAGATATCGAGTAATAGATTGATTTATTCTAAAAAGCTCATTTTTCTAACTCATACGGTTGCTCTAAAACTTCTTGCACCCAGGCGACATCAATTGGAAGTTTGTTTAGTGTGGTGTGCATAATCGATAAGCGGATCTTTCTTTCTTAATTATAAATACTATGGTGATGCTCATTAGGTATGGAAGTAATATCAAATAAGTTTCTTCCCGGGCGACTTGAGTTTCGAATTACGAAAATCACCTCGTGGCGAAGACGACGCTTTCCGACTGGCCCTGGACTTGAGGCTCACCTCTGCAGCCAGGCTGAAAGGAAACAGAGATCACATTTATCGCAGAACTCGCCCGATGAAAAAGATGCACCAGACCAGGCGCTTGTATGTGCAGTGTAGAAGATTGCCTATCATCGGTGAAAGTGGCTTCGTGCTATTCTAGCGCTGGCCTATAAGAGCAGGTTCTGTCTCCTTCAATCAACACCAGAAGTGCCACCCGGCACCGAACACATCTCAAATATGTGATTAAGTCTCGCCTGAAGCAGCAGGATCTCCAACCGCATGACGTCGCCAGGCCCAGCGTCGAAACCTTGGTTGCCAGCCGCTCCCGTTAGTATCTCCGCGCGTGCTTTCCAACATTTTCTCTACAATGTGCCGCCTGTCGCCAGCTCTCACAGTGCTGTTCCTCCAACTTGCGATTACCATCGCGAAAGCGACGTCAGCCGTCGAGATCCTTTCGCAGGCCCCGTCGTGTGCTGTACGTCTTGGCGGTAACATCCACGTCTGCGGCGCGCTGATGAGTTATTCACTCAGTCTGAATGTATCAGCAGCACATTTCTCGCGTCCGCATGCGATCCAGAAGACGTCACGGCTTGTGTCTGTCCGGAAATCTCCGTTCATTCGGAGCTTTCGACATGTGTGCAGACCAGCTGCTCATTTGACGACCAACCAAGTCTGCCCTGTCATTCCTGTTTCAGGGCGCTTCTCACTTTTCAAGCTGCGGTAGAGATGGAAGGAGTCCCGCGTGAGACGTACCCTAAAGCGTCGCGGAGGACAGAAGTACGACGGAAGCTTATCATCAGCTGCAGTCTCGGGCTGTTCGTCGTGATGCTTCGTCTTTTTAGCCGCGTATAGTACGGCGGCGGCCTGTGGAGGGAGGACTACGTGACCGTTTTCGCGGCGGTAACCCTTCCCAGCCTTCAGGGCGACCCTTCCTGACGTTGTTCAACAGGCCATCCTGATTGCGGTCACTACGGTCTATCTGCATATCACAAGCATTGGTTTCGGGATGCACTACTGGACGATACTGGTTGGCAACGGGGTCGTTATTCGCAAGGTTTCATAACTCTGGTACGCCGGTCGACCAATCGCGGCGCTTCGTCCTAATACCAGGTCAGATGCTCTACATTGGAAACTTGATCTATACCATCCTCTAAGCTCCAGTCAAGCTATAAAGTGCGTTCCCTTGGCTGCATCTTCCTATCTGAGACTCTTCGGAGGATTGTCCTGCGCATCCAGCTCGTTCTGCCGCTGCATGGTACGCTCTTCACCATGCCTTTCGCGGCGCAATGCGTGCCGCTGCAATCAATCTGGGACCGCACCATCACCAACCGTCGATGTCTGAACTTACCGAGGGCGGGCTACAGCAGCAGTGGACTTTCCATAGCCGAGGACATGGCCATCCTGCTCCTTCCGGTCCCCTACTTGTGACGCGCCTCCAGGCGGCAAACTGCGAAGAAAAACTTAGAAGGGAAGAAAGAGTCCCCTACTTGTGACGGCACAAAGTTTCTCTCCGGCGGCGCCTGGCAGTGATCGCGCTGTTCAGTATTGGCTCATTATGGGTATTGTATATTTCTTTCCCCTCATAGGTGGCCATAGAGGTTTCTCTGTGAGCCATCCTGGCCCTCGAATATTTCCCCGTGAGAGCCATACGGCAGTCAACAAGGTGCGCCTCCAGGCGGTAAACTACGAAAAAAAAGTTAGAAGGGAAGAAAGATTCCTTTCCCCTTGCAACAAAGCGGGCAGGGCTCACACGGAAGGCAGCGCGTGCGTCACGAGAGCCGTCCAGGTCAACTACCTAGTAGAGCATAGCATCACGTTCGACGAGACATTGGATCGTGTGGATATTGTGGTGTGATCGCTCATCAAGCGGTCCGTGGCGCAAGCTTGCCAAGTCTACGTCTGCTCCTCATCAGCATTGGGACCTGGCATCAGCCGGCGCTATCAGATGGCTTTCTGAGCAAGGACAGCCCTAACACGGGTGGAACCAGTCTCCCAATAGACTGAGGCGATACCAAACGTAGATATAGAGAGACAGCGGCCACGAGCCTCTGCACACAGGCAACGGCGTTCTCGTGATGACAACCGTGGAGGTCGATCAACAGTCCTGCATGGTCGTGGATGTACCGCCTTTTCCACCTCCTGCCTACTCTGGGTCGTGGAACACGTAACAGTAGTCTCTTGCAGATGCAGTCACTACGTATATTTCTCATTAAGGGCTCTTTCTATAACGCAGTATATCTGATCAGTAAGAGCAAGTAACACGGAGTACAAAAGACATAGAAACGCTGTTATAACGTGTTCGAGTCCCATGAGTGTGACCCATTTGACGACAGGGTCATCAGCCACGTGAAAGAGGATATAGCCATGATTACAAGGCATGACTAACGTATGGCGTTTCTTTGCAAAAGTACGACCCATGGTCTGCAATTAAGTAATTAGATCGCGGAGACTGTGATAATACCGGCGTCATTCTCTAAGGGCCACTTAGCTTGCAAAGCCTAGAATTGTGATGACAAAATGGGCGAACCACGTGCCCTTTAGTAAGCAGAGCTAGTAGGAATGAGCTATTGTGCATGTGCTATTGGGAATAGGATAGGGGTAATAAGAGGCGTGAGGTCTCCGGGAGTTTGGGAGTTCAGTCTGAACACTGGCGGTCGTGCCCATTTCTCAGTTGTGGAGTTGCATGCTTCCAATCAGCTGCAAATAGAACTTCCAATTGCGAATGAATCCAGTGGCAGGCGACAACAGCTGCATCAACCGAAGCCTTTAGCGATCGACTCAGGGAGTAAGACGACACTGCAGATCCTGCTCCATACCTTAGGCTCTCGCAATCACAACCATCAGTTGCATGCTGTACGATCGAGAGTGATTGGCGAATCCCCAGCCCAGTCATGTCATGTGCACAGTTGGATTCCACAGAGACCTGCAGCAGCCGGTTTTAGATATCCGTAAGGAGGCGAGCCCGGCTCGGCCACAGTCCTAGCAGAAGATGCTCAGGTCCAACAACAGCGCAAAGCAACAAACGGCCACATCCACACTTGGCTCGCTATTTCTGGACCCGTCCACCTGTAACAGCCTTCATCACCCGTCGACTCCAGCTTCTGAAGACCCTGTTTGTCGCAGCCATATTAGGACTTTCATCTGACTCTGGCGCTGGGGCTTGTGGTAATGTCACCGCGACTCACGATTGCAAATAGGCAAAGTACTAAATTATGGCTCAGAAGTGAGACGTGCCTGCTGAACCGGCTGACATTCGCGCGTACCGCTGTAAGCCCGGATTGTTTCATCTCTCTGCTGGTCTAGCACATCGTCACGCTGCAACTGGCTTGAGTCCATGGACGCCGTCTCTTCCAAACTCGTCTCCTCCCCGGTTTCCCGAAGACCACACCGTTTCACACACCATGGAAGAAGGAACCGCCCGTCAAGGGCCTAGGCCTCGCCCCACGCCATCGAAAACAGCACGCCGCCACAGCGTAGCTTCAGCCCGAGTCCGACCTTCTGGCACCTGACCAACATGGCCGGCGCATCATCGCCGACAACCATCACCAAGGTGGCAGAAGTCGGGGGAACAACATGTGCAGAGTTCATTCTCATCGCACTCCGTAGCAGCAAAACCAAGCAGATGGGCCTGCGCGAACTTTACAAGTGGTTCGAGACAAACACTGACAGAGGGACACGCAAAGGACGAAGAAACAGTGTTCGCTCACACCTTTGCGTGAACAAGGTTTGTCGATGCCTTCAAGAAAGTGACGCAACATGGCCCCTGCTGATCCTCGATGACAAGGCCCTCGAACGGGTGGAAGGCAAAGGTTCCTATTAGATGCTTGCGGATGCGAGTCTGACGGAAATCCAACTAACCTATATATAGCGCGCGAATCGTATCAAAACGGCAAAGGTGTCTGCTACAATGGAAAACAGCGTTACATCGTCCCCTTCGTCGCCTAAGTACGGTTCGCGCGATGCTCTGCAGGGGAACACGTCTGACACGAGTCACGGCGATGATAGGCCTTGCACCCCGTCCAACCGGACATCTCTGGAGAGGAGTCAGCCGAAAGGTGGGCGCAGGTGATACAGTGTCATCATGTAGCCACCACAGCGTTTCCCCGACGTTGATGAGTGCCGGTGGAGGTGCTGATAGTTGAGCGTGAGAGTGTATTGTTACATTATATGTATGCAGTGAAAAGTTATTCTACTCTAGTGTTGATAGGCGTCTGTCAAGAGCCGTAGGGCGCAAGGATGAACTCTATACAATCTTCTTTCTCGAAATGCAGACATTCTGTCTGCTGAGAAAGCCTTAACGTTTCCAACGTCCCCAAACGCAGCCATGCCTTAGTTCGGAGCAAGCCACGGGCATTCCACGCCAAACACGGCCAACTCAGCCGATGTCGACTATTTCTGGATGCCATCGGCCAAATGACGCTAAGGAGTGGTCGGCGCCTGGCCGGATTGCGGCTGGAAGTGACTCTAGAGTGTTGGCCAAGGATCGGAGACAGTGATACATTCCACCGATGCATTAGAATCCGAGACTACCAACCTACGGCTGGCTTTAGCGTCCAAATTGCTGCCGCCGCCGCCACTGCTAGACGGACACGTCTCTCCTGTACCGTACCACCCGGCCAACTTGACCCAGTGCACATAATGACCGTTTGTAAGCATACTGGATGGCTGTGCGGGGCTGCTCAGAACCGCGCGTACACTGTCGAATGCTCGGATCGTGTACAGAGACTGCTGGACAGTCTGCCATGCCCGGACGTCCTATACCCCAGTACGCTTGTGTTGCTAGGAAGTGCGACTAAGCGGGTTACTATGCAGAGACTTAGCGTGAACATCACGAGCCCTCACCCGACCCGGGGCCACGGCGAGATCCATCTGTCTTTAGGCCCGGTCGGCGCGTCCGTTGCAAGGCCGACGTTAGTTACCGATGCCTACGTCCCGCCCTATAGGCGACTGGGGAGGTTGAAGCAATCTACGCTCTGCCACGAACTCGTAGCAAGACCACTAGCGATCTCTCACAGTGAAGACCAGACGCCAGCTGCATTCCCTGCGCTGGGGCATGCTCAGCAACGAGCTTTCCTATATGGCCGAGACGAAACGGGTCGACCGCGTGCTCGGCAGCTGCCTCTTCTCGGCCACCCACCTCGCCAGTCTTCTTTGCCACGCCGCGAAGCACATTAGCGATGTCGGCGCGCTACCCTCAACTTTCTCGCAGTATCCCAGCTGGACAGCCCGATAGCGTCAGATCTACCGGCAGACCTCACGCGCTTCTTAACGTACTACGACTCCGTCGAGGACCTGAAGCAATTCGCCGTGCCCATCATCGCTTCCAGCTTTATCCTCAACTAGTATCCCCCAGGCGTGCACCGTACGCCTACGGAAGAAGGCTGCCCAAATACACCCGCCTAGCCATCTAACTGTCTTAGGAAACGACGCCATTGCCCACTAAACATATCTCTTGGAAAGGTTCTGTCGTCTCCAGGATAGCATCTACTCCCGCATATGCTTGTCCGCGCTTGAGCAAGTCAATTCGCCAGTGACTCCATTATGAATAAGCCAGTCCAACATCCCAGAATAGGAGTCATTAGCGGAGGCCCGAAATTGCGCATGAGCCTTCGCTATTCGCCGGGTTCACTTCCAACAAAGTAGCCACAAAACAGCCACATTCTCTATCATCCAACATGGCTCATTCGGCAAATCCAGTGAGAATCTCTATCGGGAATGACAAACTCAAGAAACAAAGTGACGGTAAAGGCATAGCCTGGCTCAAAGATCCTGTTCAAGCAGGGATGTCCGGTTCAGTTCCAACACTAAGATGCGTTCCAGCACCATTGCCAACATCGATTATGGCCACATCCGAGCGCCCCTTCGCTCCGGCATGGCGCATAGCGAGGCTGTCTTCCGCAGCCCCACGAGCGTCTTGCTTGAACAAATGCTTCGTACTGTCACGATCGTATGAACCAACATGGCATCCTCACGGTCAGCTGGCCTCGAAGCGGTTCAACTTGGTACGCACCAGAGAGCTACATGCCAAGCCGCAGCGCGAGGTGCCAGATGTGGCCGAGGCCAAGCGGTTCTTGTGGGCACCAGTCCTTGCCCGAACGCGGGTATCGCAAAGCACCTTGTCAATGGCGAGCTACAAACGGCCGCAGAGCAGTCTTCCCCGGCTGGAACTAAGACCAGTTGTCTCCGTTTGCGCGGTGGCATATATACGATAGTAAGGGGGTCCGTCATATCCGAAGGGCCACAATAATATCTCCAGATAGTCTAGTGTGGCCATGAATGAAATAGACACAAGCCCGAACCGCTGATTGGGATGAGAGCGACGGAGTTTGCTTCATCGAGTCCGTGAATAGGCGATGTAGGCTGTTTGTATCAGCAACTGCCTTCATGGATCGCGGCAGGAAGAGGTATGCAGCTGAACGACGCCTACAGCTAGGCATCGTGATACATCAGCGAGCTGGAAGAAGTTACGAGGGAACATTGGAAGCAACTAGCAGATATCTTGAAGAAAGGCATCGTTCACGTGGAGCGACAGTCTCCAAGGGCTTATGAGCGACTCACTGGAAGAGCGCATGGACGACCTCGTAGAAGAGTACGTGGACAGAGTTTGCTAAACGCATTTAGGCAAGCCATTGAAGGATTACGGTCGGAAGCAAGTCACCAGCCACTGAATCTATGGAGCCAAAGGTGAAGGATCGTCAAAAGGTACTTTGTAGGCGCCTACTACGCTACGACATAAATATCAGATCAGAAGCGACTCACTCTGCGAGATGCAAAACAACAGCTGAAAGAAGTAGCTTGATCAATCTGGTTACAAGCGCCGGGCGCCTAGCTACAAAGTGGTGTGGCCGATTCCTTACGTAAGGACGGGACTCGGACCGGAGTTCGGCCGTCGGACCCGCGACCGGCCGACCGCGGTGGGTCACGGCGTCAAGACCGTACTCCACCACAACACAAAAAATGACTGGCGCGTCGTTCAGTGGGGTCAGCTCAAAATGACTGGGCGGTGGCTGGGTAAAAAATTTAAGCGCTCCTAGCCAATTAATCCACCGGAACAACATGCCGCCGCATCCGTAGCCTCCTTAATCTCCGCCACTTCCATTCAACCGCGTGAATGTGGTCATCTTCACATATTGAAAGTCAACCACCATCAGTGCCGTCGCTTCTCTTCCATCGAGACTCTCGCCATCCACGCTCGATTATACCAGATAAATCTGCCCCACGCGCATCGATCGTCTAACTGCTCCTATTGCTGAACCGACTTACTGTACGAGCAGGACCGGGATACCGTCGGCACCTGTCCCACGCGGACCCGTTAACCGGCGCCCCCGTCATTCTACTACTCGTGCAGGAGTCCTCGATGCAATAGGAGCAGGGTAGGGATCTCGCCGGACGCATTTTTCCAGTTGTAATCGTGCGAGGAACGTGTTGCGGCAGGCCTGGAAGCACAATATCATCACAACGGTAAGTGTCAACTCCTCCCCTCGTCACCTCCGGCTACATCATCCACGGGCAAGTCCAAAAGGTCGAACGGCGAGCGACTGCAACATGTCGTCTCGCAAACCAGATTATGTTCTTCGCGAGGTCGTTGCAGTGCGCGAAGATCAAGGACAACCACCCTCGATTCTTCCCCTACAGTTTGAACTTCGCGTCCGATGTTCGCCGGAAAGGTTACTGCTTTTTCGTCTGGCCATCTCCCTTGCTGGCAGCGCCTTCGACAAGACCGCCGAAACCAAGGTTTACCTCCATATCACGGCCGACTTTCTCGACTCGCTGGATCACATGGTCTGTGACAAGTCCGACACCAATGCCCGAAACCCCCCATACCTCGACAGCGTTCGTCGGCAACTGAAAGACACGAATTCCATCGCCCGCCTTCGATTTCAGCTGCTCCGCGGCAAGCATATCCAGCTTGCCGTGCCGAAGGATTTCACCATCGACCAGCTATCCGACGACGCAGCTCGGTCCACGTTTGAGAACGCTGAATCACTCGCCGCTGCCTCGAGATTTTCCCTATATCTTCCACACAACGTTTTGAGCAGTGATAGTGTTCCAAAATATAAAGATGCCATCGAGCGGTCCAGGTCCTTGACAGACGCCCTGAGGCAGGCGTATGAGCGCATGCGAGATGTGAACAGGCTTTACCGTGGCGCCGGCGGCAAAGAGCACCAACCCCGTGACCCTCCTCATGGCTGGCTGCCCAGGAAAGAGGATTGCAGTCCTCTGGCTCGAGGCTCACCGTTGTCATGCGGTAGCACTCTCCCCTTTGACGATGTACGCCGAGGCTCACCACCGCCATACGACGGAAGTCTGGGCGGGGAACAATCGCCGACAACCAGGTCAGATGCCGCAGCCGTCCTCGCCGCAATTTCCGGGTCCGACCACAGCCCGCCAAAGTATAGTAATGCTGAACCTCGGAGTGATGCGCCAGACTCTCTTCAGAGCGTCTTCCCATGTGGAATCGAAGACCTGCATACACACCCGACCCCCAAAAGGAAACGTCCATATGCCAACGTATCCCCCACCACAATGTCTCTGACAGACGCCCCCCGACCGGAGAAGCTGCAGCGCCCTCTGGCTGTCTGTTCGGCCGATCAGCTCATGCGTATGTTTGAGGAGCAGCAGCGACAAATCCATCGACTACACCAGAAGTTGGAGGAATCACAGGAACGGAACAAGGCGCTTGAAAAACGATACGAGGAGCTGGAGGAAAAATGCCATGAGCTGGAAAGTCGTCAAGCCGGGTACGAGGGCAGCCTTGACAGTGTCGACATTACGGTCGACGATCTCGAGGCCAGGTGCAGTGCGCTTGAGAACCAGATGCCAGACGTTTGTGACGAGGTTAAGGGTTTGATAGAAGACATAGGGCGCACGACTAAAGAGGATTTCTGCACGACCATCGACGACACCATGGCGAAAGCGATAGAAGAGACTGTCGATGCCCAAGTTAAGAAAGTAAAAGACAGAATTTGGAAAGCCCTACAGCCTATATGAGGCAAATAAACCAGATCCTCTGTTGAGTTGAGGTTGCCGCTCCTTTGTCACCGGGATACAAGACCCGTTCAGCAGCGACACAGATGCTGCTGAATACGCCACTACCACCACATGGTCGAAGGACTAAGCGCGCCTACTGCCTCGTAGCAAGCGACGCGATGGGGAAAGATCTTCGCTTCCAAGGCACCGCCCTGGAACGACTTGGGAGAAGACGAGGAACGGCTTCTCGGATTCTAAGGTGGACCAGACCAGACGCTGTTCTTGGGCGCACACATAGGCCTCATTTACAACCTAACCATGCATTTGGCTAGCTTCAAGATCCCCCCGGTGGCTCCATCTGATCGATTTCCCGGGGTCTGCGGAAGCTCATGGCGCGTTCCTTCCGTTCGCGCTCGCTCGAAGCGAGGTTGTTTGTCAGGCGAACCAACTGCCAGAGTCTTCTAGACTCATGGACGGCGCAGACCTGGGCGGACGATGGCCATGCGCTTTCTTGATGTGACGCCGAGATGGGTGGGCTCATCCACTCAAATCAAGCCCACAATTACAGCGGCCTGGACAGAGGGGTTGAGAGCAGCAGCTACTTCAGACAGTAGGGTAGCCTGCAGCTAACGAATTGGACGGCTTCCTACGCGACTCTGACCGTTCCACGCCATGTATCGTGGCGTCATGGGAGCTCTTTCGACGGTACGCCTGGTATACAGAATCTACAGGGGCCTGCATTCTCGCAACGTCATGTGCCTCACCACCACGCATGCACGGCGTGACCGGTCCGGCACTTCCTTTGACGAACCGGTCCCCGGCCGACGGCTTCACCAGCCGGAAGCCAGGCCTGGGCGGCCGACACGGATGTCCCTGACACGGTGCGTTGCTGACCCGCTTAGACCGGCGAGGCAAGTCCGCATGCTGCGTGCCGGGATCTTTGCCGGCAGCATAGCGGAGAGATTCCGGGGTTGGAGATGCCCCCTCGCGACCCTGGTTGACGTGCAGTGGTGTACGCAGTAGACCCCCGATGCCTGAACCGTTGGCAGACAATACAGCCCCATCACAGCTTATCAAGTGGACCAAAGAGCGATGGACTGACCGCGGAAAGCGGCCAGATAATCCATTGGTGGCACACTTGGCGCCGTGGTCGACGAATGCAACCTCTGGAACGAGCCCACCACGCCCACTGGAGGCTTACAAGCAAGCCAACTATCAATCACGCCGGCCTTACCAGGAAACGGGCACCCACTACCGATCGTCCGGAGTCACAGCGTATTGAACTGATGATGAGCGCGAGCGTGCGCCATCTCGCTTGCGATGCACACGGTACAAGGTGGAACTTATGCTCTATCCGTAGGGTAGTAGCCACA